TGTGTGTGTGTGTGTGTGTGTGTGTGTGTGTGTGTGTGTGTGTGTGTCCCCCGCTCGTGTCCTTCACACTGTGCTCGTGGACTCTGAGCAGCAGGATTTCAGCCCCACCAGATGGAGCTTCCAGGTGGGGCGGCTTGACATCCGTACGGGAACGGCCGTCAAGAGTCTGTTTCTGTCTCGACGGACACAGACATCACTCGTCTCCGTGGAGGGGGAGGGGTTGCCATGTTCTGCTGGTATATATTGATGAATAGTGAAGACATGTCTTTGTATACATAGTTAGTGCTGCTTCTCTTTCTGCTTGGAACACACACCCAAGGTTGTTGCATTATAATAGAGTAACGGTTAATTAAAGCGTGTGTTAGAGGACATGAATACACATCGAGGCATCCTGTTTTATAATTTTCTTTTCGTGTTTTATTAATGTGTATAGTGACTGATGCATTGTGTTGCATTGGCCAACAGTGCATCAAGTGATTCAGTGAGCTACTGGCTAAATAGCCGGTCAATCCTTCGTAGTGGACATCAGTTGTATCCCTTTTCAGTTGTTTTTGGGGACTACATGCTGGTAGTTACTACAACTGGTTGGGCCACCCTTAGCAGCAACAACTGCAATCAAGCGTTTGCGATAACTGGCAATGAGTCTTTTACAGCGCTGTAGAGGAATTTTGGCCCACTCATCTTTGCAAAATTGTTGTAACTCAGCCACATTGGAGGGTTTTCGAGCATGAACCGCCTTTTTAAGGTCATGCCACAGCATCTCAATCAGATTCAGGTCGGGACTTTGACTAGGCCACTCCAAAGTCTTCATTTTGTTTTTCTTAAGCCATTCAGAGGTGGACTTGCTGGTGTGTTTTGGATCATTGTCCTGCTGCAGAACCCAAGTGCGCTTCAGCTTGAGGTCACGAACAGATGGCCAGACATTCTCCTTCAGGATTTTTTGGTAGACAGCAGAATTCATGGTTCCATTTACCACAGCAAGTCTTCCAGGTCCTGAAGCAGCAAAACAGCCCCAGACCATCACACTACCACCACCATATTTTACTGTTGGTATGATGTTCCTTTTCTGAAATGCCGTGTTACTTTTACGCCAGATGTAACGGGACATACACCTTCCAAAAAGTTCAACTTTTGTCTCGTCAGTCCACAGAGTATTTTCCCAAAAGTCTTGGGGATCATCAAGATGTTTTCTGGCAAAACTGAGACGAGCCTTTATGTTCTTTTTGCTCAGCAGTGGTTTTCGTCTTGGAACTCTGCCATGCAGGCCATTTTTGCCCAGTCTCTTTCTTATGGTGGAGTCATGAACACTGACCTTAATTGAGGCAAGTGAGGCCTGGAGTTCTTTGGATGTTCTGGGGTCTTTTGTGACCTCTTGGATGAGTCGTCGCTGCGCTCTTGGGGTAATTTTGGTCGGCCGGCCACTCCTGGGAAGGTTCACCGCTGTTCCATGTTTTCGCCATTTGTGGATAATGGCTCTCACTGTGGTTCGCTGGAGTCCCAAAGCTTTAGAAATGGCTTTGTAACCTTTTCCAGACTGGTAGATCTCAATTACTTTGTTTGTCATTTGTTCCTGAATTTCTTTGGATCGCAGCATGATGTCTAGCTTTTGAGGATCTACCTCACTTTGCGTGTCTACCTCAAAGTGAGGATCTACCTCACTTTGAGGTCTACCTCACTTTGTCAGGCAGGTCTTATTTAAGTGATTTCTTGATTTGAGAACAGGTGTGGCAGTAATCAGGCCTGGGTGTGGCTAGAGAAATTGAACTCAGCTTTCCAAAGATGTGATAAACAGTTAATTTATGTTTTAACAGGGGGGGGGGGCAATCACTTTTTCACACAGGGCCATGTAGGTTTGGATTTCTTTTCCCCCTTAATAATAAAAACCTTCATTTAAAAACTGCATTTTGTGTTTACTTGTGTTGTCTTTGTCTAATATTTAAATTTGTTTGATGATCTGAAACATTTAAGTGTGACAAACATGCAAAGAAATCAGAAAGGGGGCAAACACTTTTTCACAACTGTATGTGTGACTGAATGACACCAACAAAAAGCACAACTTTGGTATATAAATCCGCTTCGAGTGTAACCAAACTGAATGCATTCTGTTGTGTCACTGTTTACACCTTAACCATGTCTCTCTTCCTCACAGCGGAGCCCCTCCCCCTCATGGACCTGTGCAGACGAGTAGCTCGACTGACTCTTGGCAGGGAGCGCATCCATCACATCGACACCCTCCCGCTGCCGCAGATGCTGAAGAACTACCTCCAGTACCAGTGACCCACACACACTCTGATGGGACGACACCGAGCTAATGGCAGCCAGCCTCCAAACTGAACCTAATCAGAACCATCAGACATCTGCTGAGGTTGCGGACGATGGCGTTGACTACGAACAGGTGGTGAAGATGGCGCTGCATGGGGTTTGTCTGTTTTGAATGTTTTTATCTTCTGTTTTTGCGCCTTATTTTTTTAAACATTTTTTTAGCTGTCTTTCTACTGGACAGAGGAGCTGATGAATGAAACAAAAAGTGAGACATTAAAAGGAGGATGTTTTTATCCAGTTTCCTGCTAATCACATGTACAGAGTCCTCGGTTTTGAAGGCCTTAAACGCTGTGGTTTTGGTGGTGACGGCTTAAACCGCCATCTTTCCTGCACGTGCTCTGTGGAAAGCCTCCTCTGGAAAACATGCTGGTATTTACAGTATATTCCCAACAACACAGCAGGCTCTGTGGAGAGGCAACAATCCCTCCAAGCCACAGGAGAGTCTACACGGTTCTCTTTCTGTTAGTGTGTACACAGTGCAGCACACATGGATTACATACTGTGTGTGTGTGTGCGTGTGCGCGTGCGTGCGCACAGAAACAAAGCCTTGACTGTCTTTAGAAAAATAACAACTCACTGACAAGCAGGCGGTTACCACCTACTGGCTAGAAAACCCACAACAACTCCTGTGTTTGAACCTTCTGAATCCCCCTCCTCTCTCCTGCCAGCCTCTCTCTCTCTCCCTCTGTCTCTTCATCACTCGCTCCAGTTTGATTTTAAGCCTCCACCGTGTTTGGTGAAGTCAGAGGACCGCGGGCTCTGTTTTTCGACTCTGTAACGCTGATAGAGATTGATCTGAAGGTTGAAGCTGTGTTTGACTGCTAATGTGCCTGAGACGGAAACACACACACACAAAAAGCACATGTCAACACTTCTGTCATGTCACAAAGACACCCCCCCCCCAATACACACACATACACCAAGTTTTTAATGCTGCTTTTCCATCCTTTTTATTCCAGTCTTATCCCCATGTGGGTTTTTTTTATGCCTGATTTACTTCTGGCCTTATGAGTTTTTTTTTTTTTTTTCTTTTTTTTTATAAATGTTTTTTTCTCATTCCATGGATCATGATATTTGTCTGCGGGACAGGTTGTCTCGTAGGTATAGGTAGAAAATGTGCTGCCATGAGAATCTTTTAAATGTGAATAAAAACTAAACTGTTTCTGTGTGCTCTTTGAGTGTCTTGTGTTGCTGCAGGAATGAGTTCTCATGTATGCACTACCGGGTCTCTTGTGTGGAGGTCAATGGGTTTTAATATAGGATTTGTGTTCGATGCCTGGATTAAGATCTGTGGGTAGCACAAGTTAAAGACAATATTTTGCTCTAGTCTAGGATATAAAAATATTTTTTATATCGGATAATGTCAACAACACATTACACCAAAGCCCCCCCCCC